GAAAAAAATAGAAATTTCAGAAAAAAATAAAAATTTTTCTTTATTTTTATTATGCCCATCACTGCCTTCTAATTTCCAAAAATAAGATATGTAGGCCTATATTTCTTCCTAATTTTATAAATTTAAAGCATTTAACCATCCCATTAGTACACTGTTTACATTCAAAAATAACATTTTATTTTATTTTCTCCTCCATCTGAATGTTTATGGCAAAACCATTTGCAAAATAAGAAAACAAATTTTTATTTTTATTTTTTTCCTCCTTCTTTTGATGATCTTTAAAAAATAAGTTTGTGAAATAAGGTATAAAAAAAAAAGTCTTGCCTAAGTATGTGAATTTCTATTTGTCTGGTCAACATCCTTGTAAAATGGTTTACTTGCACTATTGATGTTGGATAGAAGGGCTCCCTTGGGGACTGCAAGGTATGTTGGTATCGTACTTTGGAACATTAGTCCAATGACAAGTTCAAGCAAAGATATGTAATATGAGAAAAGGAAAACTTTGTGACTACAATTACTTTAAAAATAACTATATTGTACTTATATATAGGCCAACTGTGTTTTGTCAGTTAATAGAAAAACAAGCTTGTGGCTGCTTGTATGGTCATGTGTATAATGTAATAACACAAAATATCATCCTTGCAGGCTTCAGTTCACAATTTTATCTAATAGTAAACAAAGAAATGTAGAGCTATAAGTACGCAATGATGATTTAGTGTGTTGACAAAAATGTATAATGAAGCAGACCTGTACAATAAATCAAATGATTTTAGGACAATGAGGAGATGAGGGGAATATATGAAATCAAATCAATATGTTCCATTCCTGCTATTTTATATTCTTATACCACATTAGAACCATATATTTAGTACTAATGTTTGATATTCACTGAGAATTTCAAAAGCTTGCAAAATTATCATACTTTTTTTGCAATTGTCATTGACCAATTTAATGACATTATGTACAACAATCTCAGCTGTAACACTAGGCAGTAATATTCAGTCATGCAGCAGTGTACTGCGAACATATCAACAAAACCTTAATGTCACTTGAAACACCCTCCCCTCTCCCAAACCACCTCAATGTCAGGAGGACAAACAACGATCGATGACACCAACCACTCCCACCCCGATTTTCATTAAATTTTTCTTTGAACTCTCATTAAACATTGTATCATTCAGTCATTGAACTTGGGCAAACAATATCAAATTATGCAAGGCTATCCATCAAATGAAAGCAAAGATGAGCACACCTGACAAATGATATATCTTCAGTAGCAACAACAACTTGTTTGTAGCTACTGAAGTTTGTAGTTTCATTTCAAGAAAACATTCAAGACTGGATTGGCAAAAGTGAGCACAACCTAATGTAATTCTTTAATTTTAATTGTATACTTTATTCTCAATTTTTGTTTGTTATTTTATCTGGAATTAATTTTATTTGTAATGAGACAGCAAAGCTGCAGAAAACAACTAGTTCGGCCTACAAATAGTAGATTGATTGATTGCTCTGCGCCTTTTCTGACCTCAGTATCTACATAACACTGTATAATAATATATTTTAATGTTTAAAAAAGAAAGAAATGTATATACAATGTTATATATTGTGACTTCTGTAATAACACCATACAATTGTTACAATGTCATGAAATTGATGTTTTTAGTATTGCGCCCTCTCTCAGAATGATTAAATATTTGGAAAGAGAATAAAAATGGAGAGGTACATCTGTGTAGTCATATAAAAGTAAGCAAGTTGTGCTAGAATAGATAGATATCTAGAAATCTTTATTTATTCTGTATACGTAATCAAGTTGACATTGTCCTTCCTTAAGATCCAGTTAACAGTTAAAACATGTTTAAAATATAAAATAATATTAAAAAATTATATACAAAAACACAAGAAGCAAGCAGAAAAATTTTATATTTAAATCAAATTTTTGAAGGAAGGCAAAGTTAAAGAATTTATCATTACCGTACCTTATCTTTTGAAAAAACAAGAATATTCCGTGTTGCCAAATCTCTATGGATAACGTTCTTACTATGAAGGTATTCCATGGCAGATGCTATTTGGACACCAAAATCACATAACGTTGTAATAGGAAAGCTTCCACGGAGAGAAGGCTCCTTTAGGCATTCCGCTAATGATCGCAGTGGCGCTAACTCCGTCACCTGAAAGAAGAGAAAAATTCATGGTGATTTAAAAAATCAAAAACATTAAAT